ACTCATGATAAATGCTTCTGTAGTATTATTTTTCAGGCCCCTAAGAACATAGACTGGTTCTCCCTAAAGATGGAGTGTTTCTTAATTTGGTAGAAATTCCAGCTCTTGAAGAATTAGACTTCTACAAATAAATGTTGAGATATAAAATCGAATTCCTTTTCTTACTTCCTAACAATTTCCCAAGTGGTAATAAAGTTTGTCCCAATCATTGATACCACAACACATACCAGGATAGTCCATTAAAAGTAAGTGGTATCTATAAATTAGCTGTCCATTTATTTTTAAGGTATTTATGGAATCGAAAATGCTTTGACAATCAAAAATACATTAGTTAGAATTCACAATACTAAGCTGTCTCCTACTTTTCTAAAGTCTACTTAAATGAAAAAAGATTAATGCCTATCAAATGCATCATAATGATTTTTGACTCATTAATAAAAGCCCCATGTTGCCCCTGACATATATCACATAATCAATGAAAATTAACACAAAAATGGGAAATATTATTCTCCTCATTTAAAGCAAATGTATAATTTTCTTAGCATTATAAAAATTTTAAATTTGGCATGATTCTCCATTAAGAATTATACAGAGAATAAAAAGCTATGCCCTCCATCCAACAAAAAATGTACAAAAATTATTTTAGAAACTATTATCCTTTCTAGTCTGAGTCAGACAATCCTATAGAATCAGTTAGGTAGATTAACAGTATACTTATGGTCAAATGATCAAAAATTACTTTTATCCAAACTTATGAAATTATGAAATTTTAAAATGCATTTTGTAACTCTATTTCTTCCCTCATTTTTTTCACTTAATTCATGCTCTTGTTATCTAAATTCTAGCACATGTACCAAATACTACTTAGTCATTGCATTAAGTCAAAGATAATTCTTATCACTATTAGTGATCTTCACCCTACACACTCAAAAAATCGTGAATATTGTAAAAAATATTTTTTGTATTTCTGAGAAAGAGAATTCTTTCTGTGCCTGTTTCTTCATAAGTAAAGAATGAAAATAGGATTGTTTAGAAATTACTATAATTCCAAAGCTTTACAATTCTCAAGACTAATTTCATCAAAACACTTCTCTTCCATTGAAAAATTTGTTTTTTTATTTATTACAGATACTCTCAACCAAGCTTGATTTGGATTCATGTTATCATTTAATGGCAATGATAAATAAATCAGAACCTGGATAAATTAACCAGAGGGAACTCTATCTCAGACAAGAATATTTTTAGAAAAGAAAGGTGAATATTTACATATTTTTACCAGATAGGTATCTAGCCCATAAATATGAAAAGAGGCAGTGTTTCCCTTGATGTATTTTAGGGAGAACTTAAATTGAACAGCAATGTGATCCTTCGATTTTAGTCACAGATAAAGAGAAATAAGGAATCTAAAAACTTAATTAAATTATAAGCAACCATACAATCTAAGTACATATATTTCTCATTTTACTAATTCATAATTTTGTTTGAAATTATATAGATACCGCTTTAAGAGTAACTTTTATAAAATGGCTCCTCAGTTTAATATCAATTATGAAGAAAATTGTCACTTTAAGATATGAATCAACTTAATCCCAAAACTAATAGAAAACAAGGTGCACTATCTCCACTGAACAGCGTACATGCCATCTAACCCAACAGCACCACACAGAAAGGCATTTCTCATGAGCAACCTCTTACGGTTTATTAGAAGACAGAATATTAGTGCTCCAGGTAGTCCTAGAATAGCAGAAGCATATCTGATCACTGAACTGATCTCTAATTAAGTGACCAAAGGACAAATTTGATCTCTTTGCAAGATTGGACTAGACACACTCTGGAAGCCAGCACCATTTCACCTGCTGATCCCGGGCACTCAAAATAGCAGTTCTGCAGGGCTCACTACCTACTGCTAGCAAGTGAATGAAGTTTCTCCTAAAATTTATCAACATTTTGCAGCATTTTTGTCAAAGGCTGAATACTACTTTAATTAGTATAAAAAGATCAAATTAGGTATTGCCCTTCTTTATATTCAATAACGGTAACTCTTTAACTGTCCCTTAAAATACACAGAGTAAACAGGTTTTTTAAACTAGCTATCTTAACATAGCTACAGCATAGTCACTATTAATTCCCTGTAAATCCACCATTAAGTCCTATCTACAGTAAGTCATGGATTGATTACCACACACACACACACACACACCCCAAAAAATCCATGAAGTCCTGAGGTAAAAGTAGGCAAATATACACACAAAATTGAAGCTAATCTAAATGGATATTTATTAAAGTAGCACTTACCATTTTAATGCATAATTACAGTGGAGACTGATCATTTTTAATATGTATGGTACAGATTTTCACCTAGGCATGGATTTTGAAAGTTAAATTATATGACTATGTGAAATCAATTTCTTTAATCCATTCACTTACAAGAAACTTCTGTATTTTTTCCTTATAGTCTAACTTTATTATCAACCCAGAACTTTTAAAATCTTTAATGTTCTAATTTTATATGAAAATATAAAATACAAGTTGTCTTAGGGTTTAGCAAAGGAACCATACCACCATACCTCAGGGAAATAATAATCAGAGTATAATGCTAGGAAATAATACTTTTATTAAGAAACTGGTATAAAAATCTTACTCCTTCAACTACAAACCTAAATGCTAGTTTTAGAATTAGAGACTGAATTCATTTTTCCTTTATTTATTGATTTAGGCTTTGAAGCCAGTGAGCCCCTTTTAAGAACCAATATACTATTATTTCCTTTTTGACTTTTACTAGGTGAAAAGAATGTCTACAAGAATATGTTAAAGTAAATCTGTGACCACCCATGAGGCAATAACCACCTAACAATTTGATAAAATAAATACCCAAGTCTCATGATATGAATAAGAACCATATAACTTTCACAAAATTTCACCGGAAGTGACAAGAAAAACCCAACAACATCTGATCCCATACTTCACTGTTTCTTACATTACTTGAGTTTATAAAATAGGAAAAGTTATTTTTATGCCATTTATTTGATGTGGTACTGAGTTATTTGTTTAAAAATGTTTCACCTGAAACACTGTAGAAAATTATGCATTAAAAGTTCAGAAATTTGTCTTTTTTTCTGATATTCTTAGAGCTATACCAGAAAGTCCAAGATGGAAAAGAAAGATAAATACCTTCAGTTAATTAATCCATACATTAGACACCCTCAAACTTGTATTTCATCTATCATCACTGAAGAACACCTCGGTTTCTATATTCTTAAAACTATAGCCGCCATTACAATATTCATCTCTACATGTGAGTATCATGCTAAAGAAGAAATGGTATATACATTCTTTCTCAACCAAGTGTTTTTATACTGTAGTTAGAGAAGCTTTAAGAGGCATGAATTCAAAAAAAAATAATAATAAGCAAAACCACCAGAGGGCAGACCTGCTGCCAAAATTGACCAATCCAACTGGTGACCAGGTACCAAAGGTGAAATGCAAAATTTTTGATGTGTTCTACTGTCAATGATTCTCACTTATGCTTGAAAATGTGGAAATGCGTCAACATAACATAACTGATTTTAAAATTCAAGTATAGTCCTCAGGAGGCTCTGACTGTGAGGTTATCAGGAGAATCATCTGACATGCCTGCCTGCTCCTTGGGAAGGTGAAAGCCACAAATGTCAGAACTGGTAACAGAGCTGGGCCTCGGGAGTGCTGTCTCTCACTAAGGAGAACTTGGCCTTCTAGAGTCCGGCCGGCTCAGGTTTCTGCTACAGCCTGTGCATGCGTTTGGGGTGGGCTTTTGTTCTTTTCTCCCTCTCCTCTTCTCTCTACCATGCTTCCTGTCCCCAACATCTCTCTGCACCCCTTACAAATCTAGCTTTCTACTGTAAATCAGTTTGGGCTCCCTGAACTCTAGGGGCTTTCGCCTGCCAGCCGAGACCACAGCACCTAACGGACCACAGCAGCAACTGCTTTTTGGGGAAAGGGCGGGGGCGGGGGCGGGAAGGGAGGAGGCAGAGGGTGGAGCGAAGTTCTCTCCTTCCTTGGGTACTGACAGGGCTGCAGTCTTCTGAGCAGGTCTGGTCATTCAATATTCCGTGGTGCCACGTAGGAACTTTTCCTTACCTCTCTCCTCCCACCCCACGCCCCCTCTCCTTCCCTCCCAATCCCTACTCCTCAGCCCCCACCCCATTTGCTGGGCGACTTTCATCATTCTCCAAGAGAACTGCACGTTCAACCTGCAAGAAGAAGTGTGTGTGTATGTAGGGAGAGGAGGGTGATGGAGAAGAGGAGGGGGCTAAAATTCAGGGAAAAGTGTTCTCTCTGCCTTGAACCCCTTCTGTGAAATGCTTTCCACTGAAAATATCTTCAAAATGACACACACACACACACACACACACACACAGTCACACACACACCAGTGTTCTCAAATTCTAGATTCAAGCCCTGCTTTCTCTTATATCCCCAAAAGTAAAACAGCCCTTTTCTCACTTCCTTGCAGACAAAGAACTTTATCAAGGTTCATTTTATACCCTTTCTCTATATTTTCTCCTCAGCTCACCCTTAAAAAGATATTCCCATTAGTTAGAACCTGAGGAAACTCCAAGACTTGTTCAAAGGGCAGACTGGACTTCAACAAAAGCTTTGCACAACTGCCCTTCTGTTCAAGGTAATATTTTTCCTCTTTTCAATGAGACTGAAAAGTGGCTAAGAGCATTTTCAGCCGGCTGTGTGTCTGACAGATCTTTTTTCCTGCTACCTCCCTCCCTCCTCTCCCATTATTGTCCCGCCTACATTTCTCTCTCTATTTCTCTTTCTCTCTCTCTATTTCTCTCTCTCTCTCTCTTTTTCCACTTCCAACCTGGTGTCAGCTACAATCTGGATTTTATTTAAGAAAATTGGGGAGGGTGTGTGGGTGTTGCAGGGAAGTAGTGGGGAGAGGAGGAGGGGCGCAAAAAGGAGAGAGACCCATAACACTGTCCCACCTCTTCAAGTCCCTTTTCTCTTACCTCCTCTGACCTCTCTGGCTTGGAAGAGGAAAGTCAAGGCGAGGGTCGTTATGGTGAAATCCCAGCGCCACCGCTTCGTTTTCCACCCAGAGGACCAGGGCTCCATCTCTGAGCCCCGCGCTCACAAGTGTGACCTCCACCCACGGGATCGAGACTTGCACACCAACTTCGTCCCTTCCGAGGTGTCGCCGAGGCTTGCTACACAGCCATTGAGGAGGGAGAGGAGGTTAAAAAGTCAAAGGGCTTCTTTTTCTTTAAAATATGATGGCTTGCTTCCTTCCTGTCTGTCGCCCCCTCCTCTCCCTCTCGGTGGGGACCCTCCGATCTGTCCCCTGCCGGGCCCTGCCTTCAGACTGAAGGCAGATGAGGGGTTTCAACCAAAAAGCAGAGAGCACAGCGTACCCCTAAAGGCTTCATGCCGTCAGTGGGCCGGACGAGAGGCTCTGGGCAGCCCCCTCCTCCGCCCACTCCTCTCCGTGCCCTCCCTGCGCACCCCCCATCCAGGCCAAACTGACAAGCGGGCCGAGGGTCCCAGCCAATCACATGCCGCCCCGAGGCCCCGAGCCCGCCCCTCTCCCTTGCCCAGGAATGGGGACTTGTGCAGGCCCAGCCCACCCGCCCCCCCTCCTCAGTTCCCCACTGCCCGGCTCCCTCCTCTCCTCCCCAAGTCCCCCAGAAGAAGTGGGAGGGAGTTAGACGGGACGCGTGCTTTCCTCCTGCACTTTGGGAATGAAAGGAATTGCAGGAGAGCCCCGGAGCACACGGAGTTTTCAAGGCGCTTCTGTATTCAATGAAAACAGCTACTTGTCTCCTTGCACTCGTCTGTTCCTCTGAGGGGGAGGGGAAAGCCAGCGTTTCGGCCGCCACGCTGCTGGAGTCCTGGGCTGCCAGCCCTAACCTTTATCCTTGTGCAAAATCTGCTTCGTGTGGACTCGTTACGCTGCCTGCTTTGAAAAGCATTTTTACTGTTTTGTTTTATTTTGTTTTGTTTTTTTAACTCGGGAATAAGAAAGGAATGAAGGGTGGTGTGGAGAGACCCCAGAGGTCAAAAACTCATGAGCTTATAGGTAAACTTTGATTGGATAGCTGAAAGTGACAGGTTTCTCTCTCAAATGTTTAAACTCAGCACTAGGTTCATTCAGGGACTCTTAAAGAGTTGAACTGTATTTTGAGAGAGAAGGAGAAAGAAATTTATGGGAACTGACTTGAAGGGGTGAGTAACTTAATTTTCCAGCTGATTCTGTCTGAACCCTGTTGCAGGGGGCAGAGGAGGGAGGAGAAAAGGGAAAAAAAGCAACTAGCAGAAATCTCTTAGTGTCTGGGCCCACAGTTCTTCATCAGGGGCCTGGCCTTGGCCCTGAGTAGGGCCAAACATGGTCACTCCACAGAGAAAGAAATGAAGAAGGAAAGGTTTCTAAATTCCCTCTCCACTTACTCCATCCTCAAAGTGACCCTTTTTAACCTGGAATTCAGATTTCCTGGTCATTTTTTCCAATTTAGATTATTTCATTCTATTGACTACTCCTTTCTGTTCTTAGCATTGCCTAAGATATTTCTGTCAAACATTGAGAGAAATGTCCAACTGTGGATGACACTCGCAGCAGTGTCTCCGGATGCTGGCATACATTTGGCACATAATAGAAACGTGTTCAATAAATGAATACATTCTTCTATTGATCAGGCCCTACTTTGAGTTTTTAAGAAATTTAAATGCTTGAGAGTCCTAAACTAAGTTTATCAGGGACATATGTTCACTTCTAGCTTTGCCTATCAACTTTAGGAAACCCACTTTCTATTAATCATAAGAATATGCCTAATGATCCATTAGATTATATCAAATTAGTTCATATAGTTTAAGAATTGGAAGACAGGTAATCAAAGAATCAAAGTCTAGATTGAATGCCAAGATAGAATTGTCCAACAGGAATAGAACATATAAAATGAGATGAGCAGCTAGAAATATCTTCTATCTCAATTTCACTCTCTGTAACAAAGAACCATCAAGAAGTTTATCTTTTAGATCACAGATGTTCAAAACTACTTAGTACTTCTATTGGAGGTGGTAGAATATTTGGGATGCCAACCAGCTCTTCAAATTAGAACCTCACATGGTAAATGTCATTTAATAATATAATATCATTGCATTTGAACTTGGAATGTATAATTACAGATTAAGACTTGGGTAGTAGAAATATAGATCAATTTTACCATCTTTATTATGTTTCATCTTTTCACAAACAGAAACTTTCCATGTATTTGTGTTTTCCAAACTTTTGAAACTCAATTTTTCTGTCCAGTTCTCTCCATATATGTAAAATCATATTCTAGTTCTTAAGTCTAATACAGTGAAATGGATACAAGTTTAAATGTGTTTATGAGTTTGCCAGAATCTTAAATCAATAGGCACAGAGACTTACAATGCTTGCACCATGTAAGAGATGGAACTCCAAATTGTTTTTCAATAACTCTCCTGGTTTATGGAGAGCTCCATGGCTTGATACTGTGCTAGAAGGTGAGAAAAGATGTAGTCACTCCCTAGCAGGCTCTACCTTCTGGTCACATCTCAGACCTTGACACTACTTGTGAAAGGGTCCTTTCAGGCAAAGCGTCTTGGGTGAATAGAGTTATTACTACCACACTCTCTGTACTCTGTGGTCTACATTCCTCTGGCCATTGCCCAACTAGGCATAACCTGGGTCTGAATTAATGCTTCTGAAAAGAAACATAGTAGATTCATGGATAAGTATAATTATACCTATCCTCTCTAGCCTGGAGCTGGCTGCCAGATCTAGAGTCTCCCAGAAACCTGCCGGTGGATTAACAGAAGAACACACTGAAAAGAAGGATAGAACTCAATAATAAAGGAAGCAGAGGACAACCAGAACAGAGCCACCTCAGCTACCTTCAGCTTCACCCTAGGGAACTTCCAGTGGAATTATTTTCTGAGCTACCTTTCATCCAGTCTTCGCTAATTGTGTATACATAGATCCAAACATAATAGAATGTGACAATTTCCTTGATGTAAGTTAGTTTGAAGCTCAATTAGTGATGTTTCTGTTTCGTCACATTTAAAAATGGACAGACATTTGTTCAACTTTGTAGAATTAATTCCTTTTGTGCAAGTCTCAAAAACCAAGATGAAAAATTTAAAAAGAGTCACTTCTTTTGTAGCAATATTTTTAATTAACCGTGTGTTCATATTAGCTTAGCAGGAAAAACTGAGTTAATAATTTGATAATAGATTGGGATGTCAGATGAAGAAAACTTGAATGTTCTAAACAATCTTCAGAGTCCATTGAGCCTTATTAAATATTGTGAGAAGATCTGAGATCCACCTTACTAGCCCCTCAAATCTCTAGTAATCCAAACACCCAGATAAATACATAGACATCAATAACTAAAGGAAGACCGAAGACACACTGTCCAGTCCATAGCTGGGGAATGCCCCAATATAGACAAAATTAGAGGATCAGAAGCAGAGGAAGCTATTTAATAATCCTTAAATTACTACAGGTAGATTTAGGGAAAAAAAAGACGTAGATCAAGTAGTGAGATGTTAGAATCTACCCATCTTTTAAATCACATAGCATTCATTCCTATTTCTCATGCTGATGTTTTACTCTTCCTGTTTTTGATAGATGCATACTTGCATATATACAAGCATACACACATACACACATATATGCATACACAGGCAGACAAAATTTAAACATTTTCTCCACTTTACTGTAGTTGAAATCACTGCACCAAATCTGACTTACTGAAGGAGACATCATTGGGGAGGGAGGATGCTTACACACTCTAGAAATGTTCAGAATGTTTAAAAGAAAAACTTTTTGAATGTAATCTTTCTCTTTCTGCACATAATGTCTTACTTTTCTTGCTTTTCCCTGAGGTTTAGGTCAATTATTTTAAGACAGAAATGACTAAGCATTTCATTTTAGAGTTTTTCTGTTACACGGGTGGTAGAAATGAGTCTCTTTATAAGGGGATTTAGTTCCTCTTACCTCATAGATGGGTCATTGTGCTATAGAAAGTGGGGACTGAGAGGGACAGGGATGTTTATTTCCATAATCTAACCAAACTAACAAAAACTGTACAGTGAGGACTTACAATGACATAAGTTACAGAACTTCAGAGGTATCCAAATTTACTCTAATTTCCATAACACAACGGAATCTTCAAATGTAAATTTGGGGCATGTGGAATGTTACATGAGCCAAGTGAAAGATGGAAGAACTGCCCTTTTTAAAATGACACAGAATAAAACCAAATCTAAATGGACCCTAAACAAACAAGGCCTATGGCCATTACATTCATATATATCCTTCTTCAAAATACTCAATTCACTATACTCACAGGAAGCTATCAGAGTTCTCTTTCATAATTTTCCAATCAAAGAGAAAAGGGAAGAAGAGAGGTAGAATGATTCAGGGTAAGACTTAGATATTATTTTTTATCTCTGTCAAAATGTTTTTACTCTATTTTTTCCACCTTTGGAAGTAGCTATGACCTTTAATGCATTCTTGAGGTATTCTGAGAATTTGCATGCCCTCAAAACATTTAACAAGACTTCTTAAAAAATGGAACAGAATATCCCCACATTTCTATTGGCTGAGACAAGGTGCCCAGGTGTGCTGGGCACTCAGCTAGAGATGCACAACAGCCTCATTGCTTCTTTTCTGTATTCTCTTTTTTCTTTCCTTTTGCTTCTTTTCTCTATTATTTAAAAACCTTCTAAAGTCTTCTCTATTCTTTAAAGTTTCTTTACTTACACTCTCACTGTCCCATGTTTTCCTTAATCTCTCTTAAAGTCTTGGCCCTCAGACTTGTACTGTCCCATGTTCTCTTTAGCTTTTCTTTACCTTAGCTTTTCTAAAGCCTATGTATAAAGTTCTTGGTGCAGAAAGCTGCTCTGGTGGAGAAACACAACAGCCAGCAGTCTCTCAAGCAGCCTGTAGCCAGCCAATCAACGTCCTCTGTCCTCCTTCAGTGAGTCTTTTATACCCAGTGGTAAACAAGGAGGTGGAGCAACAGTTCTCAGGGAGCAGCATGACATTGTAACAAGAGAAACCTGCGTTCTACTTCTCTGAAGGTTAAACAATTTAGGAAAAGCAGCTGTGCTGCATTTTGCCTCTCATTCCCTTCTGTGGCTAGGGCCATGCCAAACTCAGCCTATAGATTATTGAGCACAAC